CAAGAATCATTACAAAGGTTGCCACAACGATGGCCTCTTTTCAAAACATCCTTCAAAACCACACACAAAGCACCATTTCAAACAATTGAAAAGCAAAGCAAGTGATCTAAACAAGTAACTAAGAGCCCATGGATAACCATGGATAGAAAGGGTGCTAATACATTCCCTTTCTATAATCTACTCCCCGAACCCAAGAAAACATCTCAAAGGTCTTTCCTGTGCTTTTTGACCTTTCCTTAGGATAAAATAAAAAGTCGGTGGCGACTCTTGCTAAACCGAAACATTTGCGAACACAAACGCAAAATCTCAAGTCAGTTATCCCACCGTATCACAATAAGCTATAACTAAATCACACACAAAACGTATTATGATTCATCTATAATAAGAATAGTTCAGTCCTCTTGTCATGCAAGAGCTTTTCACTATAATCAGTAGATGATTACAATTTTCTTAGACACACAAGTCCAAGACTTCTTGCTCAATCTCATTAGAAAGAGACTTGTTGCCCAAACTAACTGCCCACGACTTCTTTGCTCAATCAAACTAAAAAGAGACTATATTGAGGTGATGAGGGAAGCCAACCAAGTGAGCACATACAATTATCAGTACCTTATAGCCCCTGTATCTGATGATGAAATTCATCATGTTCTGAAGAAAATGAATGATATGACTGCTCCTGGAGTAGATGGCTATGGTGCCTGTTTATACAAGACCTCTTGGGCCATCATTAAGGCAAATATAATTGAAGCAGTTCAAGACTTTTTTTTGAATGGTAGGTTATACAAAGAAGTGAATAGCACAATTGTGACTATTACTTCTAAGTTTGAGGGAGCTTGCAAGATTAAAGACTTCAGACCTATCTCTTGTGTCACCATTCTGCTGAAAATTATTTCCAAGATTCTGACTATCAGAATGGGGAAGGTGATTAGGGAAGTGGTTGACATGAGTCAAGCAGCTTTTGTGCAAGGGCACCATCTGCATGATCATGTTCTCCTTGCCTTTGAATTAATAAGAGGGTATAGTAGTAATAATGAGCCTCCAAGGTGTATGCTTCAGATGGATATCAAAAAAGTTTATGATAGTGTTGACCGGAATGCCTTGGAAGAAATAATGTCTGAGCTTGTGTTTCCTAATAGATTTAACAATTGGATTATGTTGTTGGTTAGAATTGTGTCTTACAGATATAAAGTCAATAACAGGTTAACTGATTATTTCTCAGTCAAAAGGGGTCTCAGGCAAGGAGACCCTTTATCTCTTATGCTTTTTGTTTTGGTTATGGAGTATCTCCAGAGACTTTTAATGAAGATGGGCTGCAATCAGAATTTCAAGTTCCACTCTAAATGTGATAAACAGAAGATTATAGACTTGAGATTTGTTGATAATTTATTGATTTTCACTAAAGGAGAGAGTGGCTCAATGTAACTTTCTATCAAAGTTATGAAAGATCTTGGTGCTTCAACGAGCCTTTTTGGTGCTTCAACGAGCCTAGAGGTCAATCCTAGTAAATACAAAGTTTATTTTGGTAATATTGACTACAAGGTTAAGCATGAGATTTTGAAAGTAACTAAGTTTGATGAAGGTGTGCTCCCTTTAATTATTTAGGGGTGTTGTTGTCCAGTAAAAAGATTACTCATGCAAATTGTTTAGGCTTAATTGATAGAATTGTGCAAAGGATTCGGTACTGGAGCTCTAGGCTACTGAATTTTGCAGAAAGAACTCAATTAATCCAAAGAATCATATTTTCAATGAGTAATTTATGGATTCATTGTCTCCCTCTCCCAAAGCAAACTATAAAGTGTATAAATTTTATTTGACGTACCTTCTTGTGGTATGGAACTGAGGTGATAACCAGAAAGTCCCATGTTTCCTGGACTAGTGTGTGTTCACCAAAAGCTAAGGTTGCTTGAATATTTCTTCTCTGCAGATATGGAGTAAAGCTTGTTTAATAAGATATATCTGGAATCTTAATGGGAAAGCTGACAGTATGTGGATAAGATGGATCCATAATTATTACTTAAAAGGTGCAAATGTTATGTAGGCTAAAGCCAGATTCTCAGCTTCTTGGATAATCAAAGGTGAATTGAGCTTGAGAGATGAGATTAATAGTATTTAAGTGTGGAATAACATGATGCAGCTTGAAAAATATGCCACAAAAATTAGGTACAGAGGTTTCTTGCAGCATCATTTGGATGTCCTATGGAAGATTGTGATGTATGGTAATGCAGCGAGAAGGAAATCCATGCATACCTTGTGGATTCTATGGCATAGAAAGCTTCCAACTAAAGAAAGGTTACATAAATTTGGTATGTTGGATCATAATGGGTGCTGCTTCTGTGGGGAAGTGGAAACAATTGATCATCTTTTTCTTAGTGCTCTGAAACGAAATATATATGTGAGAAAATTCTTCATTGGATTGAAAGAGACCACTTGCCTAAGAGGTGGACAGAGGAAGTTTGTTGGTTCATTAAGGACTACAAAAGGAAGAGCTGGCAAGCAAGAGTAACTCAGTGTGCTATAACTGAAACGATTTATGAGGTCTAGAGGTTTCGTAACCAGAAATGTTTTGGTGAAAAAATTTTCCAACAAATTGCTATCAATAGAATCATAGATTCCATAGTTTATCGTTGTTGGGATAAGCCTAGAGTTAAGGTCCATGTTAGTAAGTTACTTCTGCCTTAGGTTTAGGTTGTGAGTCTTGCAGTTTTTTGAGGTTTTTTTGTTTGAGTTGGATCCATTTGAGATCACTTGTATTTCCTTGTTTTTGAATCAATAAAGTATTTTCTTTTTAAAAAGAGAGACTTCCTTCCATAAACCAACTATTTAGTATTTCCTTGCCCAATCAAACTAGAAAGATACTCCATTGCCTAAACCAATTGTTCATGACTTTCTTGCTCAATCAAATTAGAATGAGACATTTCCAAGTTCTAAACAAAATGTTTAGATTACAACAAGATGTACTTGATATACAATCAGAGGTACAAATAATACAGCACATGCAAAGACCTTGATACTTGAGATTTATAAGATATACAAGTATAAGAATATTCTTAAGTCTATATACAATACGACAACTATAAACTTTAACGTGAATAGTAAAACAGTTCTTGCAATTTCTGATTTTCTGTTGTTGTTCTTGTTGTATTATTCCTCTTACTTATTTTTGAATCTTTAGCTCCTTTATATAGAGGAAAAAAAGAGATGTTGAAAGATTGCTTGCACAAGTGTCTTTGTTGAAGAAGTTATTTTCAAGAGAGAGACGTTGGAGTTGGTATGGTGAGGATCTTCATCTTCTGAATAATTGTATTATCCATTATGTCTTTCTCAAGGCGTTCATAGGCATAGAGTAGTAGACTGAAGAAATCATATCAGTTTTCCTTGAGCCTTGTGCTAAAACCTCTAGTTAACTTCCTCCACAATTCAAGTTGTTGACAAAATGTAGTTTCTTCTGCACGAAGTACGGACAAAAGAGCTATGTACTATGCTTCCAATAAGGCGTTTAGTTCTGTTGGAATAATCAAAGGAAAAGTCAATATAGCAACTGAGTTTATATCCAAATATCCTAAGCTTCACTATGAGGTCTTGCTTGAAACTCAAGTTCTGATCCAGTAGAATTTGGTTTCACTTGTTTCTTATTAACAAACTCTTTAACTAGGTCAGAAGCAAGTTAAATATAAGTTTAATGATCCTGCACACTTAATAAAATATTAGTATACCCTATTATTCTTTAAGTACTTTTGTTATCATCAAAACTCAAGAAGTATGCACCCAATTAGTGTCAACATATTTTGTTCCAACAGTTATAAATATATTGTTTTCACCATGCACGTGTGACCGTAGTGATAAACTAGGTAGTGAGCTACTGTTGTACCCCAATTTTTTACCTAAGATCCCATTTTTATTTTTGCATTTTTTTTTAAAGATAAGTCAAGGTCACGAAATACGGTCGATTTTAACGTCTCACCTTCGAGCTTTGACTATGCGAAGATTGTCAAGTGTTTTGAACATTTTTAGCATATGTATCACTAATTTCTAATCGCATACAAAGGTGTATGTTCATGTTTTCTTTTGTGTCATGTGCAGAGACAGGTTTGAATCAAGAGCATCAGGTGTCGCGCCTCAATTAAGGTTTTGAGTCTCCCAAGCCAGAAGTACGGTTGATTGTGGATTCTCGAAGACTGATTCATCAAGGCGCAACTGTCGCACCCCATTTTTTCGCCCCTTCACTTTTTTCGACTGGTGCATATTTTGTCGTTAATTTGAAAAATCGATCATTTCGCATACTTTCTTGTTTTTATTCATCATTTTAATTTCTATTTAAAAAAAAAAGAATTAAAATAGTTTATCATTTGCATTTTCTATCATATTTCTAATAAATTTTTTTAGTTCAAAGATCTGTCTTATTATTATTTTTTTATTTATTTATTATTTTTATCTATTTCTATTTCTTTTAGATATTACTAACTATTTTCTCTTTTTCTCATTATTGTTATTAGTATCTTTACTGCATTTTTTTATTGTTACTAATTATTTTTATTTTGTTCTCATTATTGTTATTATCATTGTTGCATTTTATTATTTTATTTTATTTATTGTTACTAATACTTTTTTTTCTTCTTCTTATATTATTGTTACTATTATGTTACTATTTGTTTGTTTTTGTCAAAAATAGAGAAAGAAAATTGCAGAGTGGGACCACATCAATATCATCACACGATTATTCATAGGACAAGTTCATGACTTTTTGCAGCAATAACAAAACTGGATATCAAACAAATCATTTTCTAAAAGCTGAAATCCTCACCATCCATTCAAATATTTATCAACAGTCTCAAATACTGCTCAAAAACTTCACGCGGATCGACATCCAACTTCACACAAAAAAACAACAACAGTACATAGACACAATACTAGGATTCTCATTGTTATCCCAAAAAATCCAACATTTATCCTTTCATTCAACTCATCTTTAGCTTATCAAAATCCAAACAACCTTTGCACAAATGAGAACAATGGAGGTTGTAGTACGTTGTTCCTGCTTCCTCTCTCCTCCTCACTCTCCACGTCCTCTGTTCTGCTCCAACAACACCAATCTTCACCTTTCAGGAAAATTCACTTGTCTTTCTTTAAAACTGGACAAGGTTGTGCCACTCTTAAAAGATACTCTTAATGGATCTTCTAAGATTTCAACTGTGCTTCACTGCTTAAACTGTAAGGAAGACATGCCTCAAAGATTCCCTTTGCCGTTGTTTCTTGCGAGCAATATTTTGATGTTTTTAATGCCTTGTAAAGCTTTGGCCGAGACCTGTGAAACTGATAACTCTCTATTCAATTTCTCTTCTCAATTTCCTCAGTTCAAAACCCACGCATTCCTATCCATTCCCTAACATACACTAATCCACTCACCACTAACCTCTTCACTATTTTTTCAACATAAACAACACCAACAAATTCCAAATCTCGTTTCTTCAATATTACCAATGAACCAAAAAAAGTCACAAATTGTTGGAGCTTCAGAGTTCAACCTTTCAGATCACAAACATCCATTATCATCACCTCACGACCTCATGTCAGTTCCTGTAAAACCCTTCAACGCACACCTCCTCCGCGTCACTCGTCTCCGCACACAACACTTTTCACAAATGCCCGGTCAACCGCTGCACACAGGATCGCGCATCCTATTCGCCGTTGGTGTCCGTGTCTCCGACCGTTTGCAACCACCGTTCACCATCATGTAGATCACAACTCAGTACCACCATCCGGCCATGCAAAATACAGGTCGGATCACTTCTTTTTCTATCCTGATTTCTAATTGTTTGTTGTTTATTTATGATTCAAGGGTTGAGTTTGTTTATGAGCATGGAACATAGAAAGATGGAGTTTGTATCAGTTTGTTTGGAGAGAGGATAAAGAAGAGATATTATAGTGGGTTTTGTTGATTTCTTCTACTGATATTGCGTTTTCTAGTGTTATATCTTTTTTTTTATTATTTTGTTTTTTATGTACTTCCACTTGTTCATCTATGAATGGCCGTTGAAATTGGCCTTATCCTGGTTTAGTCATATATTGTATTTAATAGAAATATTAAAACAAAGGAAAGTGACATATTGGTGAGCCTTCCAAGATGTATAAGAAAAGTGAGAATATCTACTGGTTAGTATTTGGTTTGTGATTTGACCTGATCAGAAATGGACTGTCACGGCTGGCTCCGAGCAGAAAGCTTTTTGAACGAAGTGGGGGGGTACCTGCATGGCACTCCGATGCTGAAGTAAGTAGGAGTACGAGCGGATAATAGCAAGTGTAAGGTTAGAATGATGAATACCTGACCCTCTGGAAGAAGAGGGTATTTATAGCCCCCAGCGCTGGGCCAAGGTTCCTTCATTGGGCCGGGCAGGTTTGGCCCAATGGAGGAACTGCCAGGTTCTACGTGCGTAGTGGGGACCCGCACGTGGTCCCCTTCCTGGATGTTCTGCGTGAAGTGCGGGCGGACGGAGACGCGGTCTTTTCGGGGTATCGTTGGGGGAACAGTGGACTGAGTCTGCCCTAGCTGGGGTGCTCGAGGTAATGTCGAGCTGGACCTCAGGATGTGGTGCTGGATCACAGCATGTCGAGCTGGAGGTGTGCTGTCGAGCCTGCGACTACCCGTCGGGCACAGTCGTGCTCTTTGGTCGGCATGGCCCTTGTAAGTCCATTTGGATTGGGCCTTTGCAATGCTTTTGGGCCTGTCGGGCCCAGTCCAGAACAGGAGCCCCCCAAGTCGTGGTTCCTTTGTGAGGAGCCATGGCTTGAACTCAAGTTGTTTCCTCATCGAGGTCTCGTGCCCGGGATAGAGGTGTAGACCCTCGAGGGTCTCCTCGTGCCGTGCTCGGAGACATCTTCCGCGGTGGATGCCTGGAGGATTCTCACCGGGGCGCGTCTGTCGAGCATACGAGGTATCTTTCGGGAACTGTGTCGCCACCCTATGGGGATAGGGTCATCATTGCGTTGGGAGCAGCGCGTCGGGGAGAGGGACTCGGTGGTTTCCCGAGGTGACGTTTGGTATTCCACGTCATCACTATAAATAGGAACCTTGGGCCCCATAACACGTTTCTATTCTTCGTGCTCTCTCTGCTGTTGCTCTTCCAGATTTTTCCCAGTCGCGATCTTCTGTCACAGATTCTTCTACTCCGTAGCCGAATCCTACTTTTTGATTCAAGTAAGTGGTTTATCTTCTTCATTTTCCTGTTAAAATGCATGATTTTTGGCGTTTGTAGATGCTTTAGGGACTGTGCGCGTGGGATTAGCCCGGTAAACTCATACTTAGCTCGGCATATTCATGCTTGGGACCGGCAAACGCATGTTTGTGGTCGGCATATTCATAGTTTTAGGTGATAAACTTCAGTGCTGCCCGGGGTCTTCATGATCCAGGGCGCCTGATTCATGATCGCGCCCGGTATGTTCATGGTCTTGGCCGTAGGCTTCATGATGTGGCTCGCCATGCTCATACATTGGGTCGACATGTTGGAGAGTGGCCGCGTAGTTGGTTTGAGGAAGAACACATCGAGTTTCAGGATGTCGGGGAGGCAACCACCCGTGTAAATTGATTATGTGGTCGTGCGTGGGACGACGTGGTTTGTCGAGCGTATGGCTTCGTGCCCAATTGACTGGTTTCCCGTGCTCTGTAGGTAACCATGGCGGACGAGCCGTGCTCCTCCGGGCGCCACGATCGTGAAGAACAAAGTGCCGATGAGTCGGTCAGCTTGATTGATACTGTGACCGACCCTTTGCTGGATTGGGTGGGCGTCGAGCCCCGAGGGATCGCGTCGATCTACAGCCGGGGCGACCGAAATCTATATGCTGTCATCGAAGCGGGCCAGGGCCAGCCCGACTTCTAAAAGAATTTCGTTGTCATGCGCCCGTCTTCCCGTTCAAGGATCTGCTCGGTGTATCCAGAATATAGCTTCGCGATGTACGAGATCACGTTCAAAGATCTTGGGCTGCAGCTGCCCTTCACTGATTTCCAGGTCGGGGTCTTCACTCACCTGGAGTTGGCCCCGTCCCAGCTACATCCAAACTCACTCGCCTTCATCCGGGCGTTTGAGCTGACGTGTCGCTATCTGAGGATCGGGGCGACCATACCGCTCTTCTTCCGGATTTTTCACCTGCAGCGCCAGTCTCGAGGAGGAAAACACAGCTGGGTCTCCTTGAAGCAGTCGAGGAGACTCTTCAAAATGTATATGGACTCCATAAGGGGTTTTAAAGACAAGTGGTACGTTGTGCGGCCAGTTACCACCTCGGCTTTAGGATCCCTGTACGAGGAGGAGGAGGCTCTAAGCGATGATGACGGGGAGGCGGTTTTGGGCGACGATGGGAATCCTGTGATGGCCCGTACGGCTAAGTTCCCTGTGCACTGGATATTCAGGCACTACGAGCATGGGACTGGTTACTACCACACTGCTGCCGGGGACATGTGCTCGGAGGACGAGGAGGCGTACGCCACACTTTTTCGGTTTGTCGATAGCTTCCACCCTGCCCGATGGGCTACGAGGGAAGGGGATGATATCTTGGACGCAGAGGGTTACCCAACGTTTGAGTCTCGGCCGATTGATATTAAGGCACTCGTGGAGTGCCAGACGTACAAGGAGGCTGCCCGTCTGCTAGGTTGCTTATTGCTTGAATTTCTTTGCTCGTTATTTATTTATGAGCTTGCTCGATACTAACCCATCTTTTATTTCGTGCAGGTTCGATGGCTGGTCGACGGGAAAGGCTTTTGAAATTGTCATGCGACCAGAAGCGAGGCAAGAGGGTCGTGAAGGCCCCCCAGGCGACGAGGATGGGCCCGCCACACAGTCCAAGTGCTCCTCAGCCGGTGAGGGTGGACTCGCCGCCCAACTCGGGGGCCGCGTCGGATGGGACCCCAGAAGTTGAAGAGGTCAACCCTAATGCCGTCCTAATGCAGAGGAAGAGGACCCGGGTGGAAAGTGGTCCGACTGTCGGCGAGGACGCCAGTGCTGTCAGGTCTTTCGCGTTCCCCCCTTGTTTCAAAGAGGAGGGCTTCTTCGAGCGATTCCCTCTGACAGTGGTTGCCGACGAGGCTGAAGCTATCAAAAGGATGAGCAAAGAGGATCGGAAGATGTATCTGGCCGCCAGCATGGACGGGCTGGTGAAAATGGCCGAGATGGCCCTGGTGCTGTCCGAGGAAGGGGGGGATCCTGTCCGTATCGAGGAACTCGAGCAGGAGAAGGCGGCCCTTACCTCGAGCTCGCGGAAGTTGAAGACCGCTCTGGAACGCTCCGAGGAGATGTTCCGCGAGCAGACGGCGATGCTGGATGCTGAGAGGGAGATGTTGACCTTGGAGAAGGAAAAGTCGGGGAAGTTGGCCGAGGAGGGGGAGCTTCTCCGTGCAGACAGGGATCGTCTGGGGACCGAAGTCGGATGCTTGGCCCAGCATATCGAGGAAATGAACGCTGCCATGCAACCTACCGAGGACGAGCCGGAGGACATAGCGGCTTTAAAGGGTCGGTCGGAGCTGGTCGCCCATATCCGGCTCCTCGAGGCAGATTGTGTCGGTGCTCTGGAGGAGGGGTTCGACTCCGCAGTCGGTCAGCTCTCCTTGTTGAACCCAGGTCTGGTCACTGAGGGTATAGGCCACACACATCAGATCGTGGATGGCGTGACGGTGCCCCCGCCCGACTCTCCAAGCGTCGACAATGATGGTTCTGGGGAAACCTGACTAGGATAGCGGGCCTGCGTGCCTTTGACATTTGTATTCTTTGGGCCTGCGTGCCCGTTTGTTGTACGTTATGAACATCGCCGGCCTTCTTGGTCGGTTTATAATTGTTTTGTCGCCTTCGGGCATTTTTATCTGAATGCTGCTTTACATTTTGAATGTTTTGCCCTTGCTTGAAATCTTATATATTTGCATAGAATTTTAGCCTAAGTCATGGGCTCGAGGCGTGCCCGTAATCGGCTGTGTTTTGGCGAGCGAACCTGCCCGCCTTCCGTTGGTATACGTGCCTGGCCCTCTTTCGCTGGCCAGAGTCACCTAGGTGTTGTGCTCGAGGGGAGAGACTTCCCTTTGACCCTTTTAGATGGCCTGTCATTCTTGACGACTTGTCGGGCATTTGGAGCGAAGTTGCTCAGTCGGGCGTGAAGCCCGGTAGGGACTATTCGCCATTGGCGTGAACTTCCCATCGCGAGCTGGGTGTTCTTCCTTATGGGTACAACGATGATGGTGCTCGGTATAGCTGTCCACGTCGGGCACTATCGATCGTCATCGTTTGCCGTGTGATACTGTGCGATTTGGCCGTATGTCGGGCTTGTACCTTGGCCTTTATACGAAGTCGGACGTTTTTCCTCGTTGACCGAGCGCGGGTGCCGTTGGTCGAGGGTCCCAGGTGTTGGTAGTTTCTAACTGTAGTACTGCTTTAGCTTAGCAGCGTTCCAGGGTCGTGGTAATGGCTCTCCGTCTAATTGCTCGAGGTAGTACGCCCCGGTACCCGTGGTGCCGTGGACGCGATAAGGTCCTTCCCAGTTCACGGCCAGCTTCCCTTCGCGGGAATCTTTCTGATTCCTGCGTAATACTAGGCTGCCGATTTCGAACTCGCGCTTGATGACCTTGTCGTTGTGGCGTAGAGCCATTCGTTGTTTTAGGGTGGCTTCGCGCAGGGCTGCACCCGATCGGATTTCCTCGACTAGGTCGAGTTCATCCCTTAGTGCTTCGTCGTTCATTTCTTCGTCGAGGGGGTCCTCCGTTCGT